AGGACTAGGGGAGATATACCAGTCTTCCAATATCTCAGGGGTTGCCCCAAAGAAGAGGGAGTCAAACTATTCTCCAAAGCACCTGGGGGAAGTATAAGAAGCAGTGGGTGGAGACTAATCAAGGAGAGAAGCAACTTAGAACTGAGGAGAAATTTCCTGATAGTCAGAACAATTAATCAGTGGAACAGAAATTGCCTCCAGAAGTTGTGAATGCCCCAACGCTAGAAGTCTTTAAGAAGATGCTGGATAGCCATTTGTCTGAAACGGTTTAGGGTTTCCTGTCTAGGCAGGGGGTTGGACTAGAAGACCTCCAAGGTCCCTTCCAACTCTGCTATTGTATTGCATTGTATTGTATGTGTTGACGCCTCTACATCATACAAATAGTAATGAAAGTTATTTTTCAAACAGCCGCCACTTTGGAAAGGAAGTTCCGGCGAGATTCTCTCTTTTGTCCTGACGAACTGGATTCCCTCTTTTCATACTTCGACACAGGAGCTGGTCCACGGGGTAAGTTCAGTCGATGGATCTGTGATCTCTCGCACAGCGGTAGCTCGATGCTCAGCTACGAGAGAGGGTGGCGGTAACGTTGATTTCAAATCCAACAGCTGCGTTTCCACCCCCCTCCTTCTCTCTTGTTTTGTGCCAGACATAAGCAGACGGTTAACTTTATTTCTCCCCCCTCCCCAAACTCCCTTTCTCTCCCTCTGCGAAGAACAAAATCTGATGCATTAAAGGGGGGGGGAATATAAATCACAAGACTGTGAAAATGGGCTCTGGATGCCCGTTGTCAATGTTCCTGACCACCTTCTCCCCAGGTGGGAACCAGGCGTCGACTCAACAGCCGGTGGGAGCCGGCCCGTGGAGCGAGACCAGCAATGGCCCCGGAGGCAGCGGGTCACCCTTTCTCCTGGATGGAGGTAGGTGGTGTCTGGCTTTGTCACCAGGGACCTTCCGGTATATCTGGCAACTTCAAAGCAAGAGGCTCTGAGGCCCATAGGACCAGGGGTGGAATTCAAAAATTTAGCAACCAGCTCTTTGCCCGGCGTGGCCATGGTGGGAGTGGCCTACTCGGCCTCCTGCATCACAGTGGAGAGAGGGCGTTTTCACCCTCCCCAGGCTCCGGAGGCTTTTCTTGAGCTTCCGGGATGGTGAAAACGGCCTCCCTCAGGCTCCAGAGGCCAAAAACGGGCCCGGAACTTCTAAGAGGCCCGTTTTTCGCCCTCCCAGCGTGGGCCCTGCGCTTACCTGGCATCCAAAATGGGCTGTGTGGAGACTCCTGGGTGGGCGGGGCTAGCCAGTCCTTGCAACTACCAGTTGCCCGAACCAGTCTGAACCGGCTGAATTCCACCCCTGCTCAGGATCCACATTCCCAGAAATACCTGGCTTGGAACAGATTTGGGGAAATCCAACTTTGGCTGAGAGACAAACCTTGGTCTTTGAAATGGGCACCTACACCCAAAACCGGTAGGTGCAGCCCATAGAAGGGAGGGGGATCAGGACAGAAACCCAGTTTGATTAAAGAGGAACTGTAGTCGTTATAACCAGGTTGAAAGTCAGGATGTTTCTCTCCTAACGTTTCGCTCTCCCTGACTTCTTCGCTTGCTGATCTGCCTCCTACCCAGACAGCTGTGGGACAAAACTTTGTTCCTTGGGCAGATTTCTCTCTTCACTCATTGGTCCCGCCCCATCCCTATTATTAAGGAAGTCCCTTGACGGGAGGGGATAACAGTGGCCCACCCATCGCTCGTTCACTGTTTTAAAAGGACAAACAGAGCACTGTTCTATGTTGTGTCCCCTGGTTGTATCTTTTTCCTTTCCGTCAAAAATGAAAAAAAAAGGGTCTGCTTGGGCAGGGGGTTG